AAAGGAAAGCATTTTTTTCCTTGTTCTCTGATGAGAAGCAGTGACAGTATTACATACATGTCTTCCTGGGCTACATGGGGTGGGGAGATGGGGAGTGAAGGTTGCTATTATTCTCCTTACCTGCACCCAAGAAAGGACTCACAAGGTATCATATACCAGCTAGGATTCACTGTGAGGAAGGAGCGCACTGTTGGGCCACAGTGTCAAGTATGAAAGGTGGGAGTGGAAGCATCCTGACATTGGCAGGCCTGGGGCTTACCCTGGTCCTTATGGTGAGGTTGGCAACCCTAAAGTTAGGTCTGTGTGTTGTCCTGTGAAAATGCTTTCTTTTACAAGGACGTCAGCTGCTATATGATAGTACTGATAGCAAGATGGGCTGAGAGGCTCATCTTGGTATGAGGGGGGCACCAACCTGAAGCAAGTGTGTAAGGTGGGAAAAGGTTCTCCTACAACATTGGTTGAAGGTGACAGAAAATTAACTTGGCTATGTATGTACAGTATATGACCTCAGGTTCAACACTACACAGGCAGTAAGGAAGCCACTTTTTTCCCCTCACTGGTGCCTTGTTTAAGATGTCCAGTTCCATGTTACAAAGGGATAAGCTGGTAGATCTCCTGCCTAGAAGTTATGACCCTTTTGCACAACATTTTGCTAACAAAGTTCCTCAAAACTTCAAAAGTCTTGACTTTTCATGGATGGCATCATATTGTCATGTTAGCCAGGGCTTCTTTTGGCCTGTGACAAACTGACAGCATGCTCCCTAGCAAGTCTTCTGCAACTTGCAGACTAGAACCACAAGTGATCAATGCCTCACTTTGGGAAGGGGCACTGTGAACAGCCTTGAAGGAGCTGTGGAGTGCTCTCTCCCTCAGAGGCCCTCCTTGGATATGGCCATACTTAACTATTGCCAAATCTCCAAGCTTTCCTTTGGGGGTTGCTGAGACAATGGTGCGTTATAGAGTGCTCTAAATCAGTGTTTCTTAAACTTTCTTCTCTCAGGATCCCTTCCCACTTTTAAAAATTATGGAGGACCCCTAAAAAGCTTTTGTTTGTATGGGTTATATTTAACAATAGTTACCATATTAAAAATTAAAATTGACGCATTCACTGCTGCTACTGCTTCTCACTATTGTTTGACAGGATTTTAATATTGTATTATTTTTCAACATAGGATGGCAAATAATTTTGATTTCACAGACCCCTGAAAGGGTCTTGGGAGACCCCCAGGAGTCCTAGGATCACACTTAAAGAAACACTGCTCTAGATGAAGAGAATTATCTAGAATTATCTAAAAGCAGAAGTTATCTAGACTTCTTTCAGTCTGATACAGGCCTGGGTACAGGGTGAAAATGGTATTGGCTGTGCTGGTAGATGACCACTGTTAAGAACTGAACAGCGGAAGTGTGTCCCTTCTGTTCCTATGATTGGGTTTTGTTTTTATTATTGGTTTACTGTGTTGTTTTACGTGGATGTATTGCTGCTTTTTGATGATGGACCAAATGGGTGACCAAATAAACAAATAATCTTAATGGCCTTCAATACCATTGATCCTGGTATCTGTAGAGAATAAGGAAAATGATCTTGACAGAGATAGGCTAGATCCGTTACCAAAGCAATGAGGAGAAAAACATGGCCTAAGTCCAAAACAAGCAGAAAGTATGTGTAAGTGGCTCAGATAGACACCTTCTAATTCATGTAGATATAAAAAGGAGAGGAGACACAGCACAGACTTGCAAAATTCTGTTATTATAGCCAAGCTCAATATAAGTAATCTTAGCCTTCCTGTGGAGCTGATCTGTCATCTGATCTATCTGGTGGGGGCTGACACTATCCTGGACTGAGCACTGGGGGCTCTGTTTTACAGTGATTCCACTCCTTCCTCAGGGATGGTTGTGGAGAAGGAAAGGCTAACCCAGTGGAGTGCAGTAGGACTCACTCCTCTCCCTGCTTCTTTTTAATATCTACATGAAGCCATTGGATGAGGTTCAGGGACAATATCATCAATATACCGATGATATCCAACTGTAATCTGCCACCATAGGCTTAGCCAGTCAAAATTTTGTCCTTGGGGGCCAGGGAAAAGACAGACTGAAGTTGAACCCAAGCAAAATGGAGCTGCTGTTTGTTCACTGAGGGTCTCTTAAGGGAATGGCATATGGCCTTATCTGAAGCAGGAGGATCTTGCAATGGTAATTCATGGTGTCATCACCACCCAGTTGGACAACTACAAAGCATTCTCCACAGGGATGCTTTTGCAGGTCTCTTGGAAGCTGTAGTTGGTGCACAATGCAGCACCCTGAGAATTAAGTGGCACTTGGCACCAGGAACCTTGTTTGTTTGTTTGTTTGTTTGTTTGTTTAAAATCCCCTCTCACCCCCATGGATGGTA